TATCTCCTAACAAGAAAGTTGATGAAACAATTCAGAGATGTTTTTATATGCTATATCCCATAGTGTCTAGAATGAAATCTAGCTGGAAGAAGCCCTTAGTTCATACATTTATTCATTTATTCAGTTAATTCTTACCCTCTGCTTAACACCATGATCACACAGTCCAGCCTCCTGCATGAGGAAACTGAGGTTACAAAGCTGGTGAGAGATGGGGCTGGAAACTAAGCCCAGATGTTCTATACCCAGGACACTTTGCTCACAGTGCTGGTAAATATTCCCCTGTAGTTACACTCAGGTGATGCAATAGGACAGCATCTGTGTAGTGCGTGTGACTTGCATGTAATTCGTGCAATCAAGATGAAATACAAAACCCAATGATAGCCATTTCTTTATGACTCTAAATGCCACAACTTAGAGAAGTTTCAGTGTTAGGGCTAATAACTTCAGGGCTCATTTGGGAATTTTGCAAATAAGTCTGTTTCCAACCTATTTATACTCCTTACAATTTAGATATTTCAATCATGTCTTTTCTCTAGTGTTGTCTTTACAGAATAAAATCCTATACGTAGCACAGACCTCTGAGGAGCATGCTCTCATCCCCACCCTTTGAGTGTTGCTGCAGTTTCCTGCCGGTGACAAAACTGCATGACCCAATCTCATGGTGGCTATCTTCTCAAAGGATTTGTTTCGAGGGGGAACTTAAGGCATGTAGCTCATGACAATGTGAAATTTCATTTTCTGAGCTGTCTGTACTCTGCCTTTGTGCAATGAAATCTCTCAACTTGCTGAATACTGCTGAACTTGTTGACAGTTGAGGAGGTCGAGCACATGTGAGCAGAAGAGAACAGCTGCTCTTGCCAGCTGCCTTCTCCTCCGCATGGACACCACTGCTGCCCAAGGAGCCACTGCAGGGCAGGACACGGGAGTTTGAGGTTGCTGAAGGAGACCCTGCTGACATTTCTGCTGGGTAAATTCATCCATATGCATCTGGGAAAAGGGATTTTAGCTGAGTGACTAAGAGCAAGGATGATGAAGCCAAACTACCCAGGTTCAAATCCTGGCTCTGCCACCTGGCTTTTCAGCTTTTTACATCAGGCAAGTTACCTAACCTCACTGTCATCAGCATCCTCACCTATAAATGGGGATGAGAGTTTCTTCATAGGGTTTTTCAGGATTCAGTGAATTAAATGTTATTATAATGAATAATTCTAGCAACAAATATTGATGATGCTCCTATTCCATTTCAGTTACCATGAACAAGATAGAATTTAGAGTATTTTGTGCTCTGCCTTGTGCTCCAAATGTGGTTTGATTTTGAGGTTGCAGGGTCCTGGGACAGCTGGCTGTCCCACTCTGGGATGGAGGTGTTCAGAGATGTGGATAGAAAGCATTGTTTTGCTGGGACACTTTGCTCACAGTGCTGGTAAATAGTCCCATGTAGTTATACTCGGGTGTAACTCTTCATGGAATTTAGAGTATTTTTTCACACTAGAAGCTCTGATGCATTTAAGGGTTATGAAATCAATGTAATAAGGTGTGACTAGATTTTGTTTAAAATGAAGGATAGAATTTTACAAAATAAGAGTTCCTAAAACTCTTTTTCAGTTACATATGTTTTTATATGCATGAGTGGCCTGGGTTTGATATAAAATGAATTTCTTGAGTAGTAGAAAAGAGAAGCAATTAAACAGCAACCTCCATACAGCATGTGCAACAAGTGCAGTGAGTGTCATGGAAACTTGGGAAGGTCACCTGACCCAGTCGGGCAGGTATAGAGAATCAGGGAAGCCTTCCAAGGGGAGGTGACACTTGACCTGAATTTTTTTTTTTTAATATATATATATATATATTTTATCCTCTCCCGAGGACATTTTTCCATTTTTGTTCAGGTAGAGTGGGTGGGGGAGAGAGAGAGAGAGAGAGAGAGAGAGAGAGAGAGAGAGAAACATCAGGGACACATCAAGTGGCTGCCTCCTGCACAACCCCAACCGGGACCGGGGACAAATTGCAACCAAGGTACATGCCCTTAGTGGGAACCGAACCCGGGTCCCTCTGGACCACAGGCCGACGCTCTAACCACTGAGCAAAACCAGCCAGGGCTCAGGTCTCTGATGTTTAATTTCCAAAGGCTGCAGGGGACGAATCTGAATCTGCAAACTCCAAGCCCCTAACTTGAGGAGACTTTCTGTAAACAGGAAGACAGTATCTTTCAGTCACTTTGCAAATTATCTCGCCATCCTGCTGGACATATCTGTAGACGGTTGCTGGCCTAGGAGTTGGCAGGGCTTCCTGTTCCAAAGTGGGATGGTACTTGGCAGGCGATAGAAAGCTGGAAACTGGGCTAGCCAGGCACCTTGCATGAAGAGAAAAGAAGGAAACCTGGTAGTTTTCCATCTGATTCAGAATATCTGGTCAAATGTAATTTAAAAGGACAGATAATTAAATATGTTTATAGTTGGCTTTGAAATGCCATGCATTTTTGGCAGTGTATTTACTTTGCCAAATGTTTTCCTAAGGCCTTATTTTGCATTCCCCGAACACAGACCATCTGGGCAGCAGGGGGATGAGCTGAAGCCCAGGAGGGCATCTGGGTGAATGGTTGAGGAGGGAGGTCCTCATGTTTGAAAATTGGACTAAGATGACATGTCTCTCTTAGCGCCCCCAGATGATCAATACTTATCTGTCCACCTGTGACCTGCCACAGAGCAGAGAGCTTTTTCTGACCCAAGCTTTGCCGAGTCACATGGCGGCTTGGAAAGCAGCCGCCCGGTTCCCAGCACACAGTGCTTTCTATCCACATCTCTGAACACTCACAGGGCCACCTCCATCCCAGAGTGGGGCAGTCAGCTGTCCCAGGACTCTGCAACCTCAAAATCAAACCATATTTGGAGCACAAGGCAGGCTCTTTACAGATCTTACCATAAAAGACATTCTAAGTTATGATCAGTCCTGTAAAGAGCTCCAGAACAGAAGGCCCCTTTTCCTGTTATTCATAAGATTGCTGTTTCCAGAAAAGTCGGATTAGCTTATCTTCCCTGGCTCAGGCCTACCTAGGAAAGGAAAAAGTCTCACTTCACTGAAATCACTTAAACAAAGGGTCTCGGCACCAAGTCCCCATTAGGACCTAGAAGAAATGTCAGGGTGGCAGCCACTCCTTACTGAAGAATCCTAAGCATTCCCCTGGTCCTCCATCTGGCATCTGGGCTGTGCCAAGCCCGGGCAGTGGCCTGGTCCAGGCTGGAATTCACTGGGAATAACAAGTAACAGGCCCAAATCTGGAAGTTCAGGGAAACTGGTTTTCCTCAATCCACTGTAAAATTAAGTGCTGTTTCTCTTTTTACCCACTGCCCCCCTACAAAATTGTAAGATATTTATAAAGTGTATACCATGGTGCTTTGATATATGTATACATTGTGAAAGAATTGCCCTCTCCATCTATTTGAAAAACGCAGCATGCGTTCTTTGACTCAGTTTCCTAAAAAATTTAAAGAAGCAAAAAAACGGTTAAATGTGCCAGGAGCATTTCACCTGATATACCCGCGCCCCCCCCCCCCCCCGTGTCTTCCTTGATTGGAGGTGGCCAAAAGGGGCTTTGTGGAGGCTTGCCCAGTCTCCACCACTATGCCAGGTATCAGTCCCATCTCACACTTACTCCTCCATTCCGCATACACACACCTCTCTGAGGTCATCATCCTCAGCGTGCAGCCTGGAGGGAAGGAAACTGAGCTAAAGCAACAGGTTCCACCCACAGTCTGAACTTGGAAGGGGAGATGGCTAGGCGACTGGAGGAGCTGCGTGGTGGAGAGGAAGCATCGAGGATGCTGGAAGGGAAATGATAGTGCACGACCACCGCGCACACGTCACTCAGGCTCCCACATGGGCTTGTGTATGTGTGCATGTGGGGGAGGAAGGTCCTTCACGGGTCACTCGGGGACTTCCGCGTGGGTTAGGATGCGTCGGGAGGCTTAGGCGGGATAACCAACCCCGCAGAGAGGGCTTGGGGCGCGCCCAGGATATACGAGGGTGTCTGGGGGTTAAAATTCACCACCCTCTCCAGGGCGCCGCCCCTTCTAATTGGCCGCGTCCGAGACCCCAACACTCCGCGCTCCCTTCCTTCGGCCTTTTCCCGGCCTCTCCAACCCCATCCCCGCCCGGCCTTCCGCCCCAGTCTGCTGCCGCGAAAACCGGGAGAGCGGACTGCGCCGCGCCCGGCATCCTCTGGGCATGCTCGGTTGGAGGGACCGGCTCCGCCACCAGAAGGGAGCGTCCTTCCTCCCCCAGGGCGGCGGCCGCGCCTGCAGCGACTGCCTCCGCGCCCGGGCCCCGCACACCTTTGGGGGGGGGTGGGGGCCGCCCTGTTGAGCAGGAGCCCAGAGCTGCCACCTACCCCGAGCTTTCCGGCAAGCGGAGGAGGGGCCGGCTGGGGAGGCGGGGAGGCGCGGAGGCGGGAGTCAGACCTCAGAGATGCCGGCGGCTCCTTAGAAAGTAAAGCTCAGCTGGCGAGCGGAGTCAGGCTCCCCACCGCCCGCTGGGGCGGGGCGGGGCGGTGGGCGGTGGTCTCCGCGCCCAGAGCGAGGTGCGAATTTAGTATCCGCCCACCTCGTCTCTGTCCCCGCCCCCAGGGAATTCTAATTCTCTGGGAAAGTGGTTCTCGGCGAATCTTTGGGGCGGGGTGCTCCGGCGCGCCTGGCGCAAAATGGTTAAAACAAAGTCTATGCGCGCCCCGCAGCCCCTCTTAGGGAAAGTGTGCGCGCTGGTGGCTGGGCACCCCCTTTGCTGATGTGAGGGTTAGTTACCCGGAGGAAGTCTGGTTGTGGCAGGAGAGGGGCGTAGAATAAGGGATGCCTCAGGCTGGTGCCGGCTCCCGCCCCCAGGCCTCTGGTGGGGCGCACCTCCAGCCAGACGGGCGCTGGGCGCTGGGCCGGGGCGTTAGCTGCGGGCGGCGGGCAGCCGGAGGACGCTCGAACCCGCGGCTCACTCTCTCTGCCTCCTCCCCCCAGGATTACCGAGAGGATGGGATGGATCTAGGCAGTGACGCCGGCAGCAGCAGCAGCAGCAGCAGCAGCCGCGCCAGTTCGCAGTCCAACTCCACCAAAGTGACCCCTTGCTCCGAGTGCAAATCCTCGTCGTCGCCGGGGGGCAGCTTGGACTTGGTGTCTGCCCTGGAGGACTATGAGGAACCCTTCCCGGTTTATCAGAAGAAGGTGATTGATGAGTGGGCGCCGGAGGAGGACGGGGAGGAGGAGGAAGAGGAGGACGAGCGCGACGAACGAGGGTACCGGGATGACCGCTGTCCCGCCCGGGAGCCGGGGGACGTGAGCGCCAGGACCCGCAGCGGCGGCGGGGGTAGAGGGTCCACCACCGCCATGCCGCCCCCCGTGCCCAATGGCAACCTCCACCCGCACGACCCCCAGGACCTCAGGCACAATGGCAATGTGGTGGTGGCCGGCTGGCCGAGCGGTTCTCGAGGCCCCCGCCGGGCGGTCCAGAAGCCCCAGCCGGCGGGAGGCTGGCGCGGCGGCCGGGGCCCGGCGGCAGGGGGCCTCTGCCTCCAGCCCACTGACGGCGGGACGTGCGTTCCGGAGGAGCCCCCGATGCCCCCAATGGACTGGGAGGCGCTGGAGAAGCATTTGGCTGGGCTGCAGTTCCGGGAGCAGGAGGTGCGGAACCAGGGCCAGGGGAGGACCAACTCCACCTCAGTAAGTTGGCGGGGGTGCGTGCCCACGCGCGCACACAAGCGTGCACAGCCCGCGCACAGCCGGCACGCGCCCTCAGGGCGCTCCCGCCCGCCTACGGCCCCATTCATCCTTGTCGGAGGCAGGGGGCCGGGCGGGAGCGCCTGCGTTCTGCTCCCCTGGGGTACCGTTGCTCAGTCGGCGAGCTGTCTGGGTTTGCTGGATGGGCGGAGAGGAGGGAGGGGCAGCCAGAGAGCAGCGGAAAGTCGGGTTAGTCGAACCGGCGACTCATTTTAATGGAATTACTTAGGGAGACGAGGTTGTGAGTCACTTGTCTGAAAATAAATCCGGGGAGATTTTGGCACTGCAGCCACTGCCTGCGGGTGATATTTGAAGTCGTAATAGTTGTGGCTTTGTCAACCGTGGTGGGTCGCCCTTCGTTGCTACTGATGTCTCGCCCATATACAGGCTGCCCCTGTGCACACGGACACACTCGCCTGCCCACACCGCTCTGGTCGGCAGCAGGGTTTGTTCCATCTCCTTTTAAGCGGATGCTCCTGTATTTGAATGGGTGGCCGCCCTCCTGTAAGACTTTCTTCCTGTCTGAAACCCGGCCTATTGTTGACTTGAGGGAACCGGGTGAATTGATCTGCTAGGATGAGGGAGGCATTTTAGCCTCGGTAGCCTGACTCATTCCTTCTCTGATGAATTCTCCTTGTTTTAATAAGGAACCTCTTGCACTTCCTCACCGGAGGTCACTGCCTCCAAGCAGGAAATCCAGAGAGGGAGGGGTGCTGGAGTGGGGAAAGGAGGGCTGCATCTATAATAAGAAGCTCTGACAGGTTCAGACTTGTCTCAACACCTTTTGTGCCCCTAAGAGGAGAGGAGAGGAGATACATTACTTAAAATAAAGCATCATGAATGTAGACCGCCTATTTATTACTGTTTTGAGCTAAAGCAACAGTTGTAATTTGAAATCATTAGTGATGCCCCTAAATGGGGCTGAAGGGCACAGTTTAAATGAGCTGCTTTCTGTGTGTGGCAGCTGTGTGGCAGTGTGGGGAAAATGCTTGCTTGCAGGTGTAATTTTCGGCTCCAGGGCCTGGGGCTACTGGAAATTGGGTGCGTGCACTTCTGACTTCAAGGGTGAAGATGGTAACTGAGTTTCACAGAGAAATTGGCATGGTTTTCATCAGAGAGAGCCCTTAGCTGACAGAGCCCACTGGTTAGTGTCCCCTGAGAAACTACCTATTAAATTAACACACTTGTTCTAATCCCAGGTTTACCATGGCCACTAGCAGACATGGAATCTTTCTATTACAGCCAATATAGCTCTTGTACCTTGCAATAGAAAACAACCTTTCCCCATTTAGTGCTTGAGAAAAATACCTTATTAAGCTCCCTGGACTTAAACAATGACCTGAAGATAAATAAGTTTTCTTTACTGTTGTGTGACATTTATATATTCCAGGGAAATACGATAACTGGATATACACGTGAAGTTACGTTTTGATGGTAACAGTGATCTTCATTATTCAAAAGTTATTAAACAAAATGTTATTGAGCATCCCTTGTATTATGTGCTAAATCTGAGGTATGATTCTCAGTGCTGCAATTACACATCTGTCCACGTGTAACTGGAATTGTGGTGAAGGGAGTTAGGAATGCAGACAGACTCCTCTGGGAACGTAGAATCTAATGGTTTGCTGACAGCTTCCCCTCTGCCAACTGTGCACGTGTGCATGCGTGCGCTCACACACACACGCACACACAAACACACACACACAGCTTCTCTTGTTTTTGTGAAGACTGAATCTTTCCTTCTTGGGCAATTTTTGAAGCCAAAGGTATGTCTTTACCTAGTAAACAGTTTGTGTATTGGGGTTCCTCTCCCTCCCCCACCCCGTACTCAACCCTCCTGAAAATGTCCCTCTGGGCATTTCCCCCACAAGTCACAGGGAATTTGGGTTCCATCGATTTAAAGCCGGTATGAGTACAGAAATGAGGAGGGGAGGTGGCCTTTGAGGTCGTTTAATATTACATTTTTCTATCTTCTGGGTTGTCTTTGAAAAATATCACTAGCTAATGTTAGTTTAGAATAGTGTTAGAATACCTTTGAAATCACCTTAGCATTTAAGAAAAGTGAAATACAGTGCAATGTAATATAGTGCATTGCTCAGGGTCAGATTGGTTTTTTTAAACTTTTGTTTCATTTTTATGTATACACTGGGTCACAAGGTAGGATTTCTTTCTCATTATGGATCATTTTCATAACACTTTGAAAAGCCCTGTTTACTTCTGCCTGGAATAAGTGGGAAAATTTATAACCATGAGGACAGAAAGTTAGGAATAATGAAGGAGTTATGTAGAACAGAAAGACGGTCTTGAGGGAGTTGTTCTAATCAAATTATATTTTGGCTACACTGTAAAAAGTTGTGTGTAAATGGAATTACTATGTGCTACTGGGATGGGGGTATACATGAGAAAGAGGAGATAGGTTTTCTTTCACCTGTGAAAAGCACCACATAAGCTTATTCCCACCTCAGGGCTTTTGCCCGTTCTCTTTTGGAATCAAATGGCTGGTTCCTTCTCATCATTCCAGACTCCATTCAGCTCTCACCTCCTCAGAGCTGCTGTCCCTGACCACACTCCACCCCCTACCCAAGCACTCCTAGTGAGTTTTATTAGTGCTTATTACCACCTGACATTCTCTTGTTTAGTTCTCCTTAATTTTCAGTCTCTAAAATCTAATTGGAGTACAGGGGTGTTGTCTGTCTTTTAAATGCTGTAGCCTAGTGCCTGCGACAATACCTAGGATACAGTGCGCTCTCAAATAGCAACTGAATGAATGAACGAATGAAGGAAGGACTTATGACCCACACACCACAGAGCTGAACCACATCTCTGGTTTTACAGTTGAGAAAACAAGCCCAGAGTTGTTTAGTGATTTCTCTAAGGTCCCAGAAAGAAATCTGTGAAATCGGTTTTGTCTTTTCTGCTGATACTAGACTAGGTATTTTTCTCTTTTTAATGCTTAAAATAATTTGAAATAAAAGGCAAAGAAAGAGCTCCCATCTATTGAAGTAACTTAAACGGTTTCCTAACAACTAGTCCCCTCTTCCGCTTCCTTCGTATTAGGGATCGAAGTAAACTAGGGAACAGTCAGAGTCCCATTACTGATGAGTCTCTTCTCACAGACAGGGTTTGTTTTGGGTTTGTTTTAAGGGAATAACACTGAGTTCTGCAGAGCAAAACTGTGACAGAATGCGGGTCTTCTGGCTTCCTGTCCAGGTCTCCTTTTCCCTCTGGGCTGTAGCAGTACTGAAAAGGAAAGACGGAGGTTTCAAAAATGTGTTGGCAATCAGGAAAGATTGAGAGGCAAATTTAAAAAAAAACAACTTCCCACTGTTTAGGTGGGATCTGAAACGCAGGGCTGACCTTTTTCGGAAGGCTGTAAGCCAGGTGCCAGTCAGTGGAGGGTGAGGGTTGGGGCCAGAGCACCAGGTGCCTGAGGAGTCCTGAAGGAACCACGCTGGTGACTGACTTCCTGCTGTCTTCTCAGAGCGGCTGCTCCCAGGCAAACCTGCGGCACTTGGGTGGCCCAAACCCCTCGTGATGTCCCAGCCCCACACCTTGATGTCAGAGCTTTGAGGGCAGCTAGGTTACTTTATTTCACTGCCTTTTCCCAAGTAGCTCCATTGTGCCTGGCGCACATGCCTGATGCAGTTTCGGAGGAGGAGACACTGAAGCCCACGACCAGAGCTCCTCCCGAAGGGCCCCCTCCAGTCGCCAGCCCTTGCTCATCTGGTCTCCACGTGTGTCTCACAGCCCTGCCAGGTGTGGGCACACACAGTTAAGGGGTAAAGGAGGATATTGGGTATTGGTGCTTTGGATGTCAGATTTAGAACCAGGAAGGTGAGTTTCAGGGAGTCGGGCTCCCACGTGTTTGTGTTTATCCTGAAGTCTCACCTCCCTGCCTGCTCCCGCTCTGGTCAACTGGCTTGGACAGTCCTGAGGGAACCAGGAGCTTCTCTCTTCTCCTGCTTCTCCAGGACCTCAGTTTGTCACAGTGTCACCTTTCTGCTAACTCAAGGGGTTTCCCCACACATCGCCAAGTGCGGTGGGGTGCCCACTGCCTCAGTGGACCCCATTTCTTAAATGGGGTATAATTTCACCTCTTTCTCTCTGTGATCTTTCCATGCGGTTTTCTCTCCTTCAGGGTCTGTGATCCTCCATGTTTAGCCTCTTCTGTCCCTGGAAGTGCACTCTCATTTTTTTCTCCCACTTATCTCTTCTTTTGATTCTTTTTTTTTTTTTTTTTTTAATAGCTTTACTGAAGTAGAATTGACATAGAATCAACTGCACATGTTTGAAGTGTACAATCTGGTGAGTTTTGACATATGTGAACACCTGTGAAACCATTGCTAAAATCAAAAACATGAACCTATCTCTCACCCCCAGAAGTATCCTTGTGCCCCTTGGTAATTCCCCCAGTCCTGACCCTTGGCAACCACTGGTCTTACTCTATCTCTCTAGGTCAGCTTGCATTTTCTAAACGAATGGAAGTGGAATCATATAATACATACTCAGTGTTTGTTCAGCTTCTTTCACTCAGCATATAGTGATTTTACAGATCATCTGTGGTACTATGTATGTTTATAGCTCACTACTCTCTGTTGCTAGGTAGTGTTCCGTTTTATGGATATACCTTATTCCCCTGTTGATGGACATTTGGGTTGTTTCTAGTGCTATGAACATTCACCTCTTTGTAAAGACATACCTTTCTTACCTATTTTATCTTGGGTAAAATACCTGGGAGTGGAGTGGCTGGATCATATGGTAAGTGTGTATTTAACTGTTTAAGAAGTTGTCTGTTTGCCAAAGAAGTTGCACCATTTTTCGTTGCCATCGCCATGATTCTTAATATAGTCACTGTAACCTTGGCTTTCTCTCCCATGGTTGCTCCATTCCGGCTGTGTCCTTGGGCCTTGCAGGACATCTCTCTTCAGGAGACTGGTGTGACT